AAAACCAGAAGGCCAATGAACCAATGCATCAGTTGGACCAAATACCCCATAGCAAAAATCATAGCACTTTTTCTCAGTCGCAATTTTGTCATCTGAAAGACTTTCATCTGGACCAGTCTGCATTGTTATCATCTATATCCGCCTACGAGTGAGAAGGATGTGTGGGATTATACAGGCATATCCCATAAATAAGGTTTGCACACCTCCCAAACAACATGACCGGTTTAACTTTGACTCTTATGTGACATCACATGTAACCTTATCTGACAGCTATCATCCACAGAGAAGAGTGTTGACTCCAGGCATAAGAACCAAAGTAGAGCGCACTTACTGCATGAGTCACATGGTACATGAGCACTAAAATATAGACTTTTGGTGCAGCCTTTGGCAGCTTCAGAAAAAGAAAGGAGCAACTCCACCTAAAAGCCATAGGTAGAGAGGTTTCAGATGTCTAAAACAGAATAACAAGTAAAAAATCAGCTTCAAGCTCAGGAGATAAAGGGACCTCAACATCAGGTGCAAACGTTTCTCTATCGTCTTCAAATATCTGTGAAGGTGACAAAAGATCAGACTTCTATATTACAGTTTCTCCAACAGGGAGAATAATGGAAAAAAAAATACCTCCGAAAATATGTTATAGAATGTCAGAAAAAGGGCCGTGACTCTGATTGTTGAACCCATTTGAGTCAAAAGAGCTATATCTCCTTTGCTTTGTATCACCAGACAATTCCTACCATGAATAAAATTACTGTTAAGCCAAAAGATTTAACTGATTCGAATAAAATTCAAATTGAAAAAGAAAAAAACTAGATTTCCAAATGCACAAAGTTCAAGGCAATCACCTTATCATATTGAGCTCTTTCATCTGTATCTCGCAAAGTCTAGAATACATTTTTTCACAAAACATAAAATTAGGACAAAAATAGATAATGTATAATTTAGTCTAATGTAGACATAACAGAGAATTTATTTCACCTCATAGGCTTCTCTTATCTCTTGGAACTTCCTCTTTGCTACAGGATTGTGCTCATTAGCATCAGGATGGAATTCATTTGCCAGCTGTAAATGACAACTCTCAGATACAATCAAAGAAGAACAAATAGGAAAGCACGCTCCAGGGAATATTTCAGTAAAGCAAAGCAATTAGAAGGAGATAACATCTCAAAATTTAAGTCACAAATAAATTTTAATGTACAAACATAATCCAAATAACCCATTCAAGAGGTTGATCTTTGTTCGTATATTTGATGGAGATAGGATCATCCTTTTACTGGTTAGAATGATATTCCCATGAAAGCTATTTCATCACTTCAAAATATAATTGCATCTTCATCAAAATATAAATGCTAATGGATAGATCAAAATGTCAGTTTTACCTGATAGAAAATGACTTCATTGCGATTAGTATAGAACCAATAAAGTCTCACAGACCGTGTGAAATGGATGGAGTGTGACAAAGGAAGGATTAGGCTATGAACTAAGATTATGGAAGTTATAGATGATATTAATAATAGGTGAATTTTAAGGCTGCAGAATTAACGCAGAATGTCTGGCATGCACATAATACGAAATTAGAAAAACATAACCGTCTTGGCTATTTCCAGTAACTAGACACAACCAGAGGAAGACACAAGAAATGTCGTGTAAAAATAAAATGGCTCTGTCAAAATGAAAATTGCTTCGGTAAGTAATGAATTCCTATGATTGGAGGACTTCTTACAAAATAGTAATTAAACTGGGAAAGTTATATAAGGAAGTTTTAGGCGACCAAAAAACCTATATCAACCAAAGATAACAGCAGCAGCTAAAGCAAGAATGCTTAGATGGATGCGAAGGAAAACCAAAACGAATTCCTAGTCAAATGACATTGTTAGAAAAAACAGCAGGAATAACAACACGTAACATCTTTCACATGACTATGACATCAACTACCGAACGAAGCAATATCACACAATATTGTATCAGAGACTTTAAAATGAGAAAAGGGGAAAACAAAGAATGCTGATCTCCACTACAAGTAATACAGGATCAAAGCGAGTTAAAAAAAAAAGGCAAGGGAGGAAGGAGGGGGGATTGTTTAAAATGACATGAACGAATTAATTTTATAAACAAAATTACTTTCATGAAAACAGAGATTTACACTTTCCTCGACTGGTAGACGGAAAAAGAAAAAAATTGCCCCCGTGAGCGGATAAGATAAGAGAATATCAAAGTTGTATCTTGGCGCTGGGACTCACAGCAAAGCCTGCCTATTCTTTTATCCACTGATCAACACATATCAGGCAAGAGCTGGATCACCAGGGTCAAGACTGCGATTGTCAGATAGAAGAATAGATGCCTATTCCAAAGAGAGGAGACTTGATGCCACCTGTAAGTTCAACCAGTAAGCTGCTCATCAAGCATGTTGGTCGTTCCGTAAATCCTCATCATATTCAGGTTAAAATATAGCACAACAAAGAAAATCAAAGACACTGGTCCTCACATGACAGATAGAGTTTGACCGCAGCATGAAAAACAGAATTTGTGCCTATTCTACACCAACAAGATTCAGACAGACCCAGAGTTCACATACGAAGGAAAGGATCGCCAGATAACAAAACTGTAGAAATAAAATAAAATCATCCGCATTCATTGGCAGGAAAAGTTTTCCCCGAGCTACCATTGATAATAAACATATCAGAGATGATAATTAAAATTTTCAAAACATATCATCTTTGAACGTCGGAGAACCCAGACTGACTTTTAGTCAAACAATACAATTGCCAAAATTGTAATGGCATCCCATTTAGAAGTGGCTGTTCCTCTCTCAAATTCTTCATATAAACATCAAAATTTAACAGTTGTTTTGTCTCTGTTGAATACGGTTATGATCAAATTTTTGTACCTCATCATGATTATTATTCTCTTAACATATGATTTTCAATTTATATATTTCATAAATGCACAGTTTTGTTCATTCATAATTTTTCTTTATTTCATAGTAGACAGAACAGAGTTGGGAACCCACTAAATTCCTTGCTCCAGAAGTTTGGTGAATTGAGCTGTGGAGCAGCAGCTTGTCCATCACTGCTGCTTTTAGGAAAGCATCTCGTAAGGAGCCACCTTGAATCAGACACAAAAAGGGCCCCAAGGATGCTACCGAGGATGCCTCTGATGCTCAAGCTAATTGGTGGCAGAGTGTGAAAGAGGTATAGAAAACTACAAGATAGCAGCCGCCTCTACAGAAATTTGCAGTGAAGCTCTAATGCATCGGCACTGAGTTCAGGTGAGGATGAGGAGTGTATCTATGCGTCTGTCCCCTGCAGAGGGGATAAGGATATGGATTCTACATTAACAACTGGCCCTCTGTCGGTTAAAAGTGATGTAAAATATTAAAATTCATAAAGAAGAGAAAACTGTATATGATGGTGTAGTATAAAATAATCATTGTCACAAAGAGGTGGTCTTCAGTGATAACAGCAGCAAAAAGCCTAGCAACTTATCTTGTGCATAGGGACTTATGTGACCTACTCATGTTATACACGGGATGGCCAACTAGAAGTCAGGAGAATGGGTGAGGTGAGGAAGAACCGAGCAACAATGCATTGAACTATCTTGTCAATAGAAAGTTCTCACAATTGAAGTGGATATCCATAGATAAGATGTATGAGTCTGACAGAGGTCAGCAGAAAGAGAATCAGCTGTTGAATGCCCGTTAACTTAATAAGGCACACTGACCATTTTGTCTCTTCTTACCCAGACTCTTCCAAGATGCACTGCACAATGCCATAGATTCAAAAAGTCCAAATATATTTCACAGTTGCAATTCCTCAGTGTTTTAGCATCCCTATAGAGTTATAAACGAACCAGCAAAGAATGGCACTAACAAAAGAAACTGAAGGTAATGCAAGAAATCGTACCTTCACGTCCATCTTCCCCAACAAAGTTGGTACCTTGACCTTTCCACCAAGGTTAGCCTGAATAATAAGTTGAATACTAGTAAACAATCAGAATTGTTATAAATACATATGATTTCATGGGAGAAATCAATTGTCCTCAATCCTAACAGGACAAGATGAGGCATAACCAAGTGCAAATAAAACTCAACCGAATTTCAAATATCTCTCAAAGTAATGTCATGTATCTAAATCCTCATGCATGCCAACTTCCCAATGAATTTTCTTCAAATGATTGTCCATTCCTTTTGACGGTTTGCGCTAGTTTTCTACTCCTAATAGGAAATATTCCTTCTTTATAAATGGAGGACTCAATTTCTATTTCCTTGCTTATTTATATTTCTCCAGGTTCGAATATGGGCCATACTAGAGCTTATCCAGCTCACTCAATAATACCTATAGTAATAAAAAATAATTAGATTCCTTTATTAATTATATATTATTTTGTAAAACCATATCAATAATAAAAAAAGGAGTCATTGTTCTTTATCTGCTGTTCGAAGCCTTGAGTTTCCTTAAATTTAGATATGGGCCAAGTTAGAGGTTAACGAATACATGTTGGACCGAGCTGTTCTTAACTTTTAAATAACAAAATATTGACACCTCCCATAGTTGCCGTCCTGTAACCACAGAATAATGATTCGCAAGAATCATGTTGTTTAGTTATAGTCCCTCCAATTTTCCTAGGTGAAAGAGATGGGAAGTAAATACCTATTTACTTGAGTATATTACAGTGGCCTCCAAAAGAACAGAAGATTGCAGATATTTGATTCCATTGCTCTTATTCTCCACACTTTACATCCCAAGTTTGTTCTTATAGGAAGAGGTAGTCTTCTTCTCTGACAAATAGCAAACCATGATCTCTATTCCCTATAACTCTTTTTCCATCAATGGAGCTCTAACATGAAAGGTGGTTTTGAGCAGACTGATATTCCTACCAACATAGGTTTACCAGCTCCTATTCCTCTTGCCTACCAAATTTTTATCTTCTTTCCCAAACAAAAGAACCAATTCCAAGGAAGATCACGGTTCCTTGTCTGGGATGTTGTAAAGGGAGGGTGTGGTTCAGCCTTCGTTCTGAAGGAGCTTTTCTTCATCTATTTCAAATGCTTTCCTCGCCTGTTTAAGCTCTTCATTCATGGACAGCAGTTCAGTGCACCGATGGAGCTTAGGCAAATCCTGTGCAAAGAAGAGATCCACAATCAATGCACACGTTCTGGGCTCCATTGACAAAATGTGGATCCTTCCCAGGATAGAATTCTCATAAAGTCTCCTGCCAGAAAATGAGAAGGCAGAATCTCATAGGGCACAATTCACAGGGATCATTAAAATTAGAAATGTAAAACTGTCAAGTACCTTACGAATCAAAAACAGGAAATCCTCCGTCAAGAGCTTTCCTCGTTTTGATGCAATATCCTGAGCTTTATGTGCCTAGAGAAGGTTTACATATGACCCCAACGGTGAGAAGAGTAAAAGCAAGAGAAAAACTTCAACTCGGAAAAGAAATTGTAAATAATAGGCACGATGAATTGCTTAGAATTCACGTTCGAGTCCCTTTAAGACTGATGGAAACAGAGCCAATCGAGGAAAGTAGAGATGATGTTCAGAAGTGCACATTCATTACAAAAGACAAGCAGCTTAGTTGACCTTTGTGCTTAGGGAGTTTACTACATAAATAACTTTCTCAATTTCAGTGAAATATATATCATCCATCTGCATCTTTTTATCCCAGTCCAGTGGGAAACACATTAAACTGATAAAAATACAAGTCCAAGGAAAATTAAGTTTGCAGAAGGGGGGCAGTTGGGAATATCCAAAACAAAAAATAGATAAAGCACTGTGAATGTACCACAGGAAATGAGAGTTCTTGTCACCTGCTCATTTTTTTGTTGAGAGAAATTTGAAAAAAAGCTCTGAGAATTCGGAAGACTCAGAAGTAATTAGTCCATTTTAGAGATATAAGAAGACCATAAATATTCAACTTAAAAACTTATCAGTCACTAGTCGACAAAAGATGAGAAAAAAACAAAATTGTTTTTTGGAGGAAATAAGATCTTCTCACATGTCAGTTTGAATGCGAGACTAGTGTCTCTCATACTTTCTTCCTCTTCATTCAGATTCACATATTTGGACGAATTCAAAGATTGAGAGCTGCTTAGAGGGTGACCAAGTGTTGGTATAGGGGAACGCACCAATTTCAGTTGAGTTTTTATGCATCAAGGTTTTATAATTATAGCCCTTAAGAGGGACTGACAGCCACTTACCAAGTCAGTCACGTATTCAACAACAATGTCTTCCACGAGGGCAACAGTCTCTGGAAGTGGCTGCAGAAAAGGCGATGGCATCAGAATGGAATCAGATATTTAAAAAAAATAGGAGATTAACATCTACATACAGATAATAATAGCGCATACTAAGAGGGAAGTCAGAACCTGAGTGCCACATTCAAAGCACCTGTGGGTAAAGCTTTGCCTCCATTATTACTACTATCAATAAATTCGATTTTTTTATACATAAAAAAGGTTATTTGGTTTTAGATCCCTGCAAAAAACTTCATTTATAAAAAACCTTTTACTATCCTGCCAACTACCAAACATACTCGCTAATATTCTAGTCAAATCTCCATTCAACAGATGAAAAATACTTCTAGTATATTTCACAATCATTTAATTAATGTGTTAAAAAAAACTACATGTTGAGCAAGCAAGTCACTATGAGGGGGAGTACAGGTAAGTGTTTAGTATTTTGGAAAGAGCCCGACAGTAATGATGACAAGGATTTCTTTTTTGGGGAGAGAGTAACAGCTCATGAAGAGGCTGTCAGGGAGAAGGATTTGGGTCTCAGAAGGAGACTAGCATCAAATATGCTTTAGGACTTAGATAAAGGCAGATAGCGGACATTACTACTCTGGGAAGAGTGCAAAAGAGATGAGTAATCTGGTACTCAGGGAAACAAACAAGCCTAGTGTAAGATGTGAGAGACAGTCATTTGTATTACAAAAAGAGGAAGGAACTCAGGACATGGAGCACAAGAAGATGGTAAGGGAGGCAGTCAATCAATTTAGGATAATGTCATCATTCACACCGCACCTCCAATTATTGTTAAGAGGATCAACCTCACCCACGAGTCAGTTGATTGAAATAATGGACTGAGATGGAATGACTACACAATAAAAGTTTCCTAAGGATGGGAATTTTAAATCCAATGAAAAAATGGGCATATTACTGGAGACTTTTAAAGGAAAATAAGAAAAAATATTCTTCTATGAGTTTGTAAACAATGCATCAATGGATCACCTATAGAGCAGAAGAGAGTTTTGATAGAGTTCAATGACTTTGATATCAAATTATTTGACTATACTAATGAATAATAATCAGTGCTGTGAGCACCATCGTAGCTTAACAATCCTAGTAAGCACATAAAGGTCTTCTCCAACCTACACGGCTTTGGGGACTGTTGAAAGCAAATTTGGTCTTTGAGCCTACACAAAGATGGTTTAGTTATATGGTCTCAGGTTTCTTACTGAAGCATCTTAACCCTAAATTTGTGGAGATCTAGAGATGATAATCCTGTGTTGCTTCTTGTTTTTTGTTCAGGTGGAATAATTTCTTAGTAAACGATAGATCATTTCATTTGAGCCTAAATTGGGCAAGCAATTTGAGGATGATTCTTCAGCACCACATTTCCTCTCTTGTGAAATAAAAAATAAGAATATTTCTATATGGTTTTTCCACAATGTAACTCAAGTGTGAAATTCACAAGTTTAACTTTTCACACAGCAGAAGGTATAGGAGAATTCCATTATCAAGATACATATCGTGGTTTACCAGCTTTTTCGTCATTCCACATATATAACCATGTTGTCATCTTAAACATGTTTTCATGATAGATTGTCAACGGCAAGTTTCAGACTTAGATACATCTTCAATACCAAATCTTGCAGCCATAAGTTATCCCCTATCCAACAACTACATCTAACCGTTTAGCTCATCAGAAAAGGTTTTGAGAGACTTCACTTCTCTATTTTAATTGTTGACAAGGTGGCTTGGCTCTCTTCACTGTATTTAAAATTGAGTATCCTAGTAAGTAATATAATCATATGGACATCAAAAGAAGTTACCCGCTTCTGTGAATTGACAGAAAAGAACTAAAATGTACCAAGCTCTTAAGGATAACGGGACCAGAAATTTCGTTTGAATGAGGATAACTAAGCCATTCAGCTATTTGTAATAGAGAAAATTTCAAAAGCAGGGATTTTAGCTATCATGTCCCGAAATATTTTTATGCTCACCTAGTGGACGCCATATTATTAGCACATCATCATCATCATCATTCTTGTTCTTATAATAATCATTATTATTGCCATTCTTGTTGTATTGTTGTTGTAAGACGCCCACAAGCCACAAGTCATTGAAATAACAATGCAGCATGGCTTTGAATATTGCCCTTGAAAAATATATTAAAGAAGAATCCAATGCGAAAATACGCATTCACTTACATTGGGATCGTCGCCAAATCCATACATCATATGTTGTACTGCAATAGAAAAGTTAAGTGAGTTAGAACAAAATCCCATTTGTGATGTGCACGCGAAATGCAGGAACTCAAATACTGATCAATATGAAAACCAAATGGAAACATTGAACGAAAGAACTTAAAAAAATAAAGACTAAAACATAAATTTTAGATGTCTCAATTAAGATACATAGAGTAAGATGAACCTCAGAAACGTCATTCAAAACATTCTCGGGCTCAGTTCGGAAGTTCATGCTCAGAGAGTGTTACAAGACTCCGTGTAAAATTGTTCTGGATATTCTCATGATAATAATAGAGCTCGGAGAAGCCACTTGAAACATTACGACAGATTATATTTACGGAGAGGGAACCCTGAGCTCTTCCCGCCAAATCTTTTAATTTCCCTCTTTAGGTCTTTGGTGATATAAAGAGCAGTAAAACCATATTATTTCACTCACAATCTTTCTGGAAGACTCCCCGCTTGCGCTTGAACGAAGCCTCAGAAGGGAGCGAAGACCCTGTCTTCGGCTTTGACACGGTCCCCGAGGAGGAGTTCTGCATCTTGAACGGCAAATATCCGTCGGCAGTTTCCTAACAAACCAGAGAACGATGAGCAGGGCGTCACACGATCTCGTAGTTGCCGCCCAAAACCGCGAACAATGGCCGCTATTGCGAGAAAACCCAGCAACAACAGGAAATCAAGAATCGTCCAGGAAACCGCAACTAAAATTTTCGCGCAGGGAGAGAGAGATGCAGAGGATCGGAAAGCCTCTCACCAAATCGAAAGAGATGAGCTGAGAATACCCTCCTTCGTTGTGCAACAGAACGAGCGACAAAGATACAAGAGAGGAGTGAGAGAGAGAGAGAGAGAGGGAGAGAGAAAGTAACCCGAAGGTTGCCCCAATTGGGCTGTCCCTCATTGGGCCATCTAACCCCAAGGTTGGCCCAGTTTTTCTAAATTGGGCCTCCAAACCCTCTTCGAAACAGAAATATTTATAGACCGGCCAGGCCCGTTACTCTCTCTCTCTCTCTCTCTCTCTCTCTCCCTCTCTCTCCGTCTCTCTCCGTATCTCTCTCTCCCTCCCCCTCCCTCGCGTTACTAGAACTAGACTTTGAAAATTGAAAGATAATTTTGTATTGGATATAGCCAAAGAAGATCTTAAATAATTTATGAATATTTTATTATAAGACCTATATGAGCACATTGGAAAAAAATTGTGAATATGTCCTGGTTTTGAAAATCTTCCAAGGATGCACTTAAATTATTTTTGTTTCCACTTTCTTTGATACATATAGCTAAATATTGATTATACACCCTAGAGAAAAATATGATCCAAACTACTACAAAAAAAATTTCAAGATAATCATTAGAACCATGGCAATGAGAAACACAATCCTTAGATTTATTCAAAACCCCAGATAATCATTTAATGAGTCAAGAGAATGAATTAATTAATAAGAAAATGTCCTCATCATGAGATACCAACATGAGAGATAGTGCAAAATTTATATGATGGATTAACATAATAACGTAGGCAGATGATAATGAAAAATCTTTGCATTATGCTTCATTGAAATATTAAGAGAGAAATAATTGACCCTCTAAGAAGGGCAAAATGTGTAAGATAAAAAAAAAATAAAGATAAGGAGTTAATACCTAAAGTGAATGAAAATAATAAAAAATTAACACAAATAAGATCATTTAGCTAAAAAACTAAATCATATCTTAACTATGCAAAGTAGGCCAAATCAAGTACATCTTAACTCCCTCAAAAAAATTTGGTATGTTGTCTTTTCACTAATTGTACTCACACTAAAAATGAATGTCTCAGTCCAGTTTAGTCCTTAATATCTTTTTAAGAGGAACAACTAGTTGTCCAAAGGTATTATAAATCATAGTTTAATTCTTATTATAAGACTTACACTCCTAGATAGAGAAATCATCCCAACTTCTCATAGAAAAATCAATTAATGAAATGTAAAATTTTGTTTATATGTTTTAGAAATTTCTAGTTATTAAAAATAATTCACCTATTAAAGCTAGATTTATATGTTTTAATTATTTTTATTATTTGATTTTATTTTGTTAACTTGTAGAATAAATATAGGATATATTGTAGAATAAATATAGTCTAAGAATACTTAGCATAATTTTTATTATTAAAATGGAAATAATAAAATATAAAAAATTCTTTTACACCCTAGCAAGCCAACACTTGGCTGCTGACCTGAAGGGAAAACAACAGTTGAGCAGGTTGATCCTACATCTCTTAGAGCGCCATGTGACCAAACTCATTTGATCCAACGGCTTGTGAAGTACGTCGCAATACCAGAAACTTAAGTTCTCACATGTATTATTATTAGAGATATAAAGACAATAATTGATTATTATTTAGTAAAATAGAAATTATCAATTATCATTAAAATCCCAATGATAGTTGCGAATACGACAATTTGTTCTTCCCTCCTTTTATGTGATCAACATCTCCAGCGATTGGCAAACTCATTCCTTCCTCCCCCAATTGCACTCAAGGCCTCCAACGAATGACCAGCTCTTCCCTTCTTCCCCTAGATGACAATGACAGCATGTTCGACCTCTCTTTTGGTAGATCTCTTTAGCAAGTGATGCAATGTTTTCAGATGATACTTCTATGACTTCTAGCATGGTGTGGCACGATCAGATGAAACCAAGCTACCACACTAGTCTCCAATTGCCCAAGAGGTAGACTAAACTTGGGCAATGATTTATTTACTATTTTTAGTATTTACTTATCTACTTTTGTCATTTATTTATATTTTATGACAAGTTCTTTCCATTTCATGCACATTTCGATTGAAATAAGTAGAACTAATTCAAAACTTGATGAATGATTTTCGTTCTTCTTTTGAATCCTCTGAAATTTTTTTGAGATTAAATTAAGATCATTTTCAACTTATTTTCTATTAATTTTCGTTGTTGAATCTTGATTTATTCACATTCCTAGTGTTCCATGAATAACAAGTATTGTTCTATTTTTGAACATAAAATCATTGAGATTAAAGGCTGATTAATGAATGTTCAATAGTTAAAACAAGCTAGAGACATTCATGGTTGACCTCATGTCATGTGTGTGAATCCTTGAGCACATATTTTTTTGAGAAAATGGGTTGATTGTATTTCTCTCTTTCTTCATTCTTGTCTTATCTCTTTCTCTCTCATTTGTGAGAGATCTCATCCTTTCTCTCTCTCGTGAGAGATTTATCTCCTCCTCTCTCTTTCTCTCCCTTTCGTGAGAGATCTCATCCCTTCTCTCTCTCGTGAGAGCTTTCTCTCCTCCTCTCTCTTTGTCTCCCTTTTGTGAGAGATCTCGTCCCTTCTCTCTCTCGTGAGAGCTTTCTCTCCTCCTCTCTCTTTGTCTCCCTTTTGCGAGAGATCTCATCCCTTTTCTCTCTTGTGAGAACTTTCTCTCCTCCTCTCTCTTTCTCTCCCTTTTGCAAGAGATCTCATCCCTTCTCTCCCTCGTGAGAGTTCTCTCTTTTCTCTCTCTTTTCTTCTTTCCTTTTCTCCACTTCCCTTCCTTTATTCTTGTCACCTCACCTTTTACTTTATTATTTTTGTTAAATATTAATAAATTATTTTTAAAAAATTATCTAAATAAAATTAGTTTTCATGATGGATTAATCAATATCCCTATGTTCAACTTGAGACTTACTTCTATATTGGTATTTTATTAAGTCTTAGTTATAAATATTATTAGATAGTGTGCATTTAAACACAACAACAAGTGCACACCATCTTTTTGGCACCATTGTTGGGGAAGATTTATTTTTAATCAGTGTTAATTGATTTAGTTTTTCATATTTCAGTGATTTTAGATAAATATATATATATTATAATTTTCATTATTTTATTATTTTTATTTAAATAGTATTTTGAATTTTTAAAAAAAGGTTTATTATGCTAATTTGATTTCTACTTTTCTTTCATAAGTTAGAATTTAAAATCTTTAGTTTTTATTTTTTTTACTTGAGTATTTTAATTTTTCATTGATTCTATACTCCTCTTTGACATATTTATTAGAATTATATCTTTATGTCATAATTATTGCTAGATTTAAATTCTAAAAAACTGATTTATGAACAATAGACGCAAATTGCAACCAATCTTAGAAAATCAAGCTACCAACCAATCTAAGATCTAAGGGCACAAGAAAAATATAATTTACCACCCATATTAGAGACTCCAACAATAGAAAAAGGAAAAAATCATCTCCTATCGAAGTAGAGTCACCTAGGATGAATCATCCAACCTAAGAGAGTGAGAATGTTGAAAATACTCAACCTTATAAATCTATGTGTGATTATTATACACTAGATTTATATAGACCTACTTTGTAGATTAGACCTCCTATTTTGCTAAATGTTTACTTTGATATTTATAAGTCTTCATTATCATGAGTTAATAATTAGTAAATAATATAGTTTTAGCCTCAACTCATGATAAATAGACTTTTATTTGTGTTAAAGTGTGAAAAGCAATTTTTAATTGATTAATATGAATTTTTGGTTAATTATATAATTTTTGAAGAATTTATATAATTTATATAGTCTTATTTTTGAGATAAATAAAGAAAAAGAAATAAAATAAAAATATAACAAAATGAAGAGGATCCGTCAGCCAACTAGGCCCACAAGCAGGTTGGAAGTATAGTCAAGGGGAGCCATGAGCAAATGCTTGAGCAGCTAGAACCAATGAGGCCATGTGTGTGACACTCTTTTTTCACGTCACTAGTAACTAGCCAATTGTGGGGCAAAGAGTGGTCATACATGCGGAAGAAAAAGACTTATTACTTGCAAATATGATATTACTATATATTCACCCAAAACTTTAGCAAACAAGTGATGTGAGACTAAACCCCCATCACATCTTTCCTAAAAAAAATTTTAAGATTTTAATACTTAAACTACTCCTTTGTTATAATAGAGATATATCATGATGACGTCACTTGATAAGGGTATTAGAGTATTTATTTTATTTGAATTTAGAGTTGAAACCTTTTCCCTCTAGTTTAAAATATATCTCTTTTAGAGAAAAATAATTCATCTCCTATTATTATTATAGCTAATTTGAGTGATGAAAAAGAAGGAGAATTATTAGATGTACTTTGAAAAAATAGGAACACTATTAACTAGAAAATGAATGATCTTAGGGGCATTGATATGAGTGTGTGCATGCATAGTATATCTAGAGGAAGGGACTAGAACTAGCAAGGAACCACAATGAAGATTAAATCCTAACACAATGTAAATTATAAAAATAGAAATTTTAAAGTGGCTAGCTACTGATATTATTTATCCTATTTCAGATAGCAAATGGGTTAGTCCTACACAAGTGGTGCCAAAAAAATCAGGGATCACACTTATAAAAAACGAAAATGAGAATGAAATAAAAACACAATTAACTACTAGTTGGAGGCTTTACATTGATTATAGAAAATTAAATTCAGTTATCAAAAAAGATCATTTTCTCTTATCATTTACTAATCAAATTCTAGAAAAAATAGCTGAATTTTTTTTTTCTA